TCGTCATTTGCTCGATGTTGTCCGCACCCTTTTGTAGGAGTCTCATGTGCCTTCACGATTTTGGTGTGAAGCCCTTTCCACCGCTGTCCATCTTATAAATAGAATACCTTCTTCGTCAATAGGTAATGAATCCCCTTTCATTCGGTTATATGGTCACCCACCAAATTACTCCACTCTTCGTATCTTCGGTTGTGTGTGTTATGTTCATCTTACTCCACAGGAACGCACCAAACTCACTGCACAATTTGTTGAGTGTGCTTTTCTCGGATATTTTCTCATCAAAAGGGCTTTCTAAGTTATGATCCTAACCTTCGTAGGATTCGTGTATCTAGAAATGTCATTTTCCTAGAAAATAAATATTTTTTTGCATCACATCATGACTTCGTCTCTTCTCCAATTTCTGTTTTGCCATTGTTTTCTAACTCTCATTCAAGTTACCAATCTTCTAAACTTCTCTTGACCTACAAAAGACGTAGTGCTGCCACTCAAAATCAACCAACGCATGGGCTCCCTCAAGATAATTCCTTGGTTGCTGGTCCAGTAGAAGAAGAACCAGAACCAGCTCCTCTACGACGCAGCTCACGTGATAAAAAAATCCCCAGAAAGGTATATCAATTGCATGACAGCATCATTATCATCTATTCCTATTCCTTCATCTTATAAACAGGCCATGGAGAATGATTGTTGGCAGAAAGCTATTGAAACAGAACTTCTTGTCCTGGAAGAAAATCAAACTTGGGATATAGTGCCATGTCCCTCATCCGTTAAACCTTTAGGCAGCAAGTTTGTGTTCTCCATAAAGCTGCGCTCAGATGGATCCATAGATTGATACAAGGCTCGTTTAATTGTGCTTGGAAATAAGCAAGAATATGGACTTGACTATGATGAGACGTTTGCTCCGATTGTCAAGATGACAACTGTACGCACTCTTCTTGCTATTGCCACGTCACAAGCTTGGCCACTACATCAAATGGATGTTAAAAACGCATTCCTCCACGGTGATCTTCAGGAGGAAGTTTACATCAAACTTCCTAGTGGTATGCCTACACCTTCACCTAATACTGTTTGCAAAGTAAAACGATCTTTATATGAATTGAAACAGGCACCGAGAGTTTGGTTTGAAAAGTTTCGATCGACACTACTTGGTTTTGAATTTAACCAAAGTCAGTATGATTCATCTCTTTTCCTACAAAGGACTCCTAAAGGCATTGTGGTGCTTCTTGTTTATGTGGATGACATTGTTGTCACAGGTTCTGATCAAGATGCTATTTCTAGAATCAAACACTTGCTGCATTCAACTTTTCAAATGAAAGAGTTAGGCTATCTCACTTATTTCTTGGGTTTTTAGAGGTGCATTATCATCATGAAGGTGTTTTTCTAAATCAACAAAAATATATTCTAAGACTTGGTACATCTAGCAGGACTCACAAATGTAACCCTTGTAAACACTCCCATGGAAGTTAATGTTAAATATAGAAGAGATGAAGGTGACCTTCTTGATGATCCCACTCAATATCGCAAACTGGTAGGAAGTCTTATCTATGTCACTATCACTCGCCTAGATATTTCTTTCGCTGTACACACAGTTAGTAAGTTCATGTAAGCTCCACGACATTTCCATCTTTCAGCGGTACAACGAATCATTAGATACCTCCTTGGCACTCCAAAGTGAGGCTTATTTTTTCTTGTTGATTCATCAATCAAACTTCAAGCATATAGTGATGCCGATTGGGCTGGATGTCCAGACACAAGAAAATCTACTACTGGTTGGTGTATGTTCCTAGGAAATGCTCCTATTTCATGGAAATGTAAGAAACAAGATTCAGTCTCAAAGTCATCTACTGAAGCAGAATATCGCGCAATGTCTTCCGCTTGTTCTGAAATAATATGGTTGCGTGGTCTTCTTAGTGAGCTTGGATTCTCTCAACAACAACCAACTCCGCTGCATGCTGACAATTCCAGTGCCATTCAGATTGCAGCAAATCCAGTTTACCGTGAACGGACGAAACACATCGAAGTTGATTGTCACTCTATTCGAGAAACCTATGATAGAAGAGTCATAAATCTACCACATGTCTCAACATCTGTTCAAATAACTGACATTTTCACTAAAACCTTGACACGTCAGCGACACAATTTTGTACTTGGCAAATTGATGCTTGTAGATTTACCAACATCAATTTGAGGGGGGATGTCAACAGAATTATTTCAAATAGCTCACATTTTCACTAAAACCTTGACACGTCAGTGACACAATTTTGTACTTGGCAAATTGATGCTTGTAGATTTACCAACATCAATTTGAGGGGGGATGTCAACAGAATTATTTCAAATAGCTCACATTTTCACTAAAACCTTGACACCTCAGCGACACAATTTTTTACTTGGCAAATTGATGCTTGTAGATTTACCAGCATCAATTTGAGGGGGGATGTCAACAGAATTATTGGCAATAATGAGCTAATTATTAGAAATAATTCTGTTGAGATTGTACATTTATTTATAATATTTATTCTCTTAATTAACATAATTAGCTGGAAATGTAAATATGACAGTTTAGCTTATTAGTGGGTTGAAATTCAACCTGATAGCTTGTAAGTACAGTATTTATGACAGGTTTGAATGAAAATAGATATACAGTTTTTTGGCCAAATTCTATCTTAGTTAACATAAACTAATTGGAGCCGATTGGGCCTGCAATCATGTATGTGGAAACCAACAATATTTTTTGTTCCTACTCTGAAAGCGGCCACTGAGGATTGCCTCTTATTGGTCTAATATGAGAGTTTGTATGTTCTTACTTTAAGAATGAGGGAAAGATAAAAAAAAAATGCACATTGGTAAATAAATCTGACTTTATATGATTGAATTTATCCACTGGCAGTCTTTTAACACTTTTTCTTTTCCCTTCAGAAATTGAAAGACTTCCTCTGTTCTGCTGAAGCTGAAGTCCGCTCATTGGCTTCACTATATTCTGGGGTGGTAGGTCCTCTGATATTTTTAGAGATTTTGAAATCATGTATAGGTTGTGCTTTGCTTAGAGTCTATATTTACAGGGTAGGAACGTGGACGCGTCAATTCTTTATTTTGGCGAAGATCCATCTCGCTGTCCATTTGAACAAGGTGCGTGACTGTCTATACTTTAGATATGATATTCATTTTTTGTAGCTGGTTAAGTGAGGTCCCGTTTCTTCGTTTATGCTAATGATACTCTTTTTTGACAAAATGTTATTGATACTCTTAGCCTTGCACTTGAATTTTTCCCTGTGGAGCCCAAATTATAGTAAGGGTTCTTTCATCATTTCCATGCTGAATGAGGCTTTGAAATGGTCAATTGATCCTTTTCTCTTCCTCTTCCATTCGATAGACCGTGCCTTAGGAATTTGAGTTGAGACACTAACATGGGAGCCTATTACATCATTAAGTTGGGGAGCAACACAGATATTCTCTCAACTCTTCTTCAGTACAACTGATTCTTGTTACTATTTTGAATTTACTGCAGTTGTCACAACTTTGCTCAACTTCACTCAAATGTTCAACAAAGCCCACGAAGAAAACTGCAAGCAGCAAGAGCTTGAAATGAAGAAAACAGCAGAAAGTGAGAAAAAGAAATGTGAATCAGAGAGGATATTACCTAAAGCAATCCAGACTGGCAATGTCAAATGACTAATTATTAGAGGACACTAGCTTTGAAAGTCGTATATGTTCTAGCAGGAGTACGAATTTAACCAGACAATGCCAGCTCTGGTTTTTTATTATTCTGCATGTATAGTGGAACAGATAGTAGCAGCCGACACTGGGAACCGAAGAACTGCATTGCTCCACAAGGCTGAGGTAACTCTTTGAACCCATTATTCTCTCACTTTGGTTGTACTTCTTTTTTCCTGATTGTCATCTCCTACCTCACACTAGCTATTCTATTTGCTATTTGTGAATCATAACAGATGGTGGAGTTTGCATGAGTTTTGTTATTTGCCAACCAACTTGTATATAACTTCTCTCTCCACTCTGAAACTATATGATTGTAAGTATAAGTATATATCAATGAACTAGGGTATTAGTTTTCTCAGCTAGCAACACTAATTTCACGTTTGTAGTGTAAAGCTTAAATATCTTATTGTATAGCTTATTTATATGGTATATGTATTTTGTTCAATTGATTATTTGTTTGTACTACATTTCATTTGAATATCTTTTTTTTTTTTTACATGACATTTGAATATCTTAGGCGCTCTAAAGAAAGTAAGAAATATCTTGCGCTCTATTATAGAAACTAATATTATACTACCTTTTATAGCTGTAAGGCTAAAAATATTGTTGCAAGTTGGAGTAAGTGAAGTCTCACATCATGGAGGTCATAGTTATACTTTTTCTTTTTACAGTAAACTCAATTTCATTAAAAGATAGAACAACAAACTTTACAGATAACATTAGACAAATGAAATAGGACATTCCCCATCTATAGTCTAGAAGCAATTCTAAGTGAGAAAATTACAACCTCATAATATACATTACAGACAGAATTTTTGCAAGCTAAGAAGACAAACAAACCAAAAGCAATAATCTATCATCCACTCATTCACTTAAGAATTCGATCAATGACAATATAAAAAATGAGAATCTAAGTTTTTTTAATTCCGGTTAAGGATGATTTTTTTATTTGTGTTTGAACATTTCCACTATTTTTGTTCTCAAGATTGTTCAATTTTATCGAATGTTTTAAAAATTAATAGATGATTAGAGATAGTGTTGTAATGAGTGTCAAACTCATAAGCTTCCTCAATTACAATGAGATGTCAAATACAAAACACTTTTGAGACATGTTGTTTAACACCAAGAGTGCAGACAAATGACAACAACACAAAGACAGAACACAAAATTAGGTAAATGAAAGAAAGTAAGCTTAAATTGTAGATAATCCATGGCGGTTTTGGAGATGAGAATGGTTAATAACTTCGAAGGTGTGGGAGCAATTGGTGGTGGCTCTGATGATGGCTGCGTCAGCAAGAGGAACTTTGGAGATGGATGTATGGTTGACAACTTTGAGCAAGAGGAATTTTGGAGATGAATAGATGGTTGACAATTTTGAAGATGTGAAAATAGTCCGGTGGTTCTGGTGGCGGCTGCTTCAATAGAAGGAGTGAGAGAGGGTAGTCGATTAATGAGTTAGTTGCGTTTGTAGCATCAAAGTGTACTTGAGTGGAGGGGGTAATGCTCTCCATAGAGGAGGGGTTGACAACCATGAAGGTGGAAGATGAAAACCCTATGATGATGGGAAATGACCGTCAAATCCTAAAAGGTTGGGGAAATTTTTCTAGAGAGAAAGGAGAGTATCTTTCTTTAGAGTTTCGTTTTCTACGAATATGAGTTTATCTAATAGTTATATGTTTTTAAGTAAAGAAAAGTAATGCATTTCTAACACTACAAAATAAGAGCTGAAAGTTGTGTGAAAATTTATAAATATGAAGTTTTCCTTTTTGTTTATGACGGATGTCAATGTTATATATATATATATATAGGATGTGTTTGTTTCAAAGATTAAAATTACAATCTTGAAAATATTATTGTCGAAAGCATTATTATCAAGAATTTTATTCCTATTTTTGTGTTTGACAAATAATTTAAGTTTTCAGGAATATTTAAAAAATATATTTAATTTAAAATTTTAAAATAAAAAAACTTAAATAAATAGCCTGAAAGTAAGAATTATTGATAATGATCATGATAATGATGATAATAATATGATGATAATAATGATGCAAGTTGAAGTCTCAAGTTCAAAATGAGTTAAAAAGTTTAAAGCAATAGTTAATCCCTCTTACTGAAATTTAAAATAATGTAATCTTGGACTATAGGATACGACAATCCAATTAAGATTTAGGTGGATTATTTTAACTGAAGAGTTCTTGTATGAGAGGCAGCGGCAGAAAATACACATATACACATACACACAATAATATGACTAAATTGTAAAGAGACTCAGTTGTGTTAACTTTTGGATATGGTTTCCTTAGATAAGATAATTATATAAGAAATGAGTTGTTAATGTAAGGGATAGAGGAAAATAACAAAAAAAGTTTTTGATATTAACAGTCGCATCACCTGAGAACAAGTAATGAGTAAAGTTTGTGGATGTGATAACTCATTTTATGTGAGATATTTAATTTTTATATTTGAATTTTAGGATAATTTATATTTTGAGTAATGTCATGACATTGCTCATTTAGGATAGAGCATATTAGGTGTTCTCTTTTGTCAATTTTATATGTTTTGTGCTTGTGCATAATCAAATTTTGTGACGAGTCCGATTGCGCCAGAAAGTGTGCCGCCGGAAAGTTATGACTCATGCTCAACAGACTTTGAGTCAGAAGATGTTGGTATGTTATCAAATTCAGTATTAATGGTGTCGTGACAGATTTTTGAAGAAAAAAAAGGTTGAGTTGGAGAAAATGAATGGATAAGGATGAAAACACTACAAGATAAACATATTATTGTTGTACTGCTACTACTTCTGCATTGTTGTTACTGCTGCAGTGCTGCCACGATGTCATATTGTTTCCCATGTGCAATGTAGTAGCATAGTACATCATAAAGGAATGTGTTATATTCTTTAGACTTAAGTTTATGGATCATTGTAAAGGTCTAAGAACCAAAGAGGGTGAGAGACATTATGCATCTGAAATACCTCTATAAATAGAGTTGTAATGCAATGAAAAATATTTTGAAACTTGAAAAAATTCTGCAGAAGTGAAATAAAGGAAGACGGAGACTCGTTGTGAGGCGTGACTGAAGACGTCACTTGTTGATTAACAAATTCTAAGTCATTAAAGTGTCATTTTTTGATTTATTATTTCTATCTTTTTGTTTAGGAATGTGTAGCTTAAGATCTTTATGTATTGTGCTTATTTCCATTATGAGCTAATTTGTTTTGTCGGATAATGTGAAGTTTAATGAATTAGTAATCTTTTGAATGTTATGAATGAGTTGTCTTGATATATTTTACTCATGTGAATTTATGTCATATATTTATTTCTTTATTTGGCCATCTTGAGAGTAGATAACAATTTGTTAATGCTAAGAGATCATTTGACAAATGAAACTCATAAGTAAATATGATTGAAAATAGTAGGATAAAGATACTAACTAGATTAGCTACTTTAGATATAAAGAACTACAATCGTAGAGGATATTTGAAATGAAATCAAATATACATTAAAGTTACAAGTGAGACTTGAAATTTGTCACCTTACTTTACTGTATATGTTATTGATGTTATAGAGATACACCATAAGATTATGTTCTGACCTCATGTGCCATGACAGAATATATCGGAAGGATACATTAGATAAATTTATTAAATGGAACATTGTTTAACATACTCTTTCACTTTTTGTTAACCTTAATTATCTTCTCTGTTTTTCCACTTTCATAACCACGTGACACATACGATTATTTATTACCTTTGCTCATGTTTACTTTACAATTTATTGTATGAAAACTATTATGCTTAATACAATCTCGGTGGGATCGATACTTTTTCGTAAAACTTGCTACTAATTTGATCGTGTATACTTGCACATATAAAATTTAACCATTTAGTTTTTGGCCTCATTTGATAAATCAGAAATCATAAATCTACTGAAGCCAACTGAGAAGAAGGAACAACCTAAAGCGCCAAAAGTTATCAAGAGTTTGTTCTTCAAGTAACAACGAAGAATTTTTATGGGCCATTTTGCTACAATGCAAAAGGACTAACGAGGGTTCTACCAGTTTTCTAGAGATTGTCATAAGTGGCATAAAAGACTATACTCCCTCTACAAAGATGGAGAAATGAATGAATCTCCAGTATTCTCAAAAACGTATTGGGGGAACTCCTTAAAGAAGATGAACAATGTGTCTAGGAGCAGAATCCCAAAAGGAACGCAAGACCAACAAGAAACCTGGATAAAAATGAAAAAAAGGAAAAAGAGTCCGGAGACAAAGGTGTCTTTTGACACAAGGCCAGAGAGGAGTTATGGCGTGACTTAGAAGATCCTCCAACAGAAAAAAAAGAAGAAGATACGTATAACCAAAAAAGTAAAAAGCCCAATGAAGAAAGTTATTGGAATGTTCAACTCAATAAAAGACTTGGATATGAAAAAATTAGTTGAGGAAGATGACTTGGATAATGAGAAAACTATCAATGATATAATTAAGGAGGTCAACAAAAATAGGAAAGAGTTGAGTGAATACAAGTCCACTGATGAAGAAAGAGTTGAGGAAGGCGATCCCAAAAAAGCTATTGAGCAAGAGATGGAGGAGGAGTTTGAAGCATAAAAAGAAGAAAAGAAAGTGGAAGAGGAAAAAGAGGTATGAGACTCTAACAAAAGTGAAAAAGGTGAAAAAGGTGAAAATTAGGAAGAAAATGAGGAAAAAGAACAATCTGATCAAAAGGAATGGAAACAAGAAGGAATCATAAAAAATCTATCAGAGAAGAAACAAAGGATAAAAATGAGATTATAACTGTTCAAGAACCTGATACGACAGAAGATGACATACGTGCATAAAAAAATAGGAGAAAGAGAAGGAAATCTAACAACCTTTTAAGGAGATAAGAAATGTCGAACCATAAACATAGAAGGAACCATTTGTCTTTTTGAAAGTCGTCAGTAGCCCAACTAAAGTCATAAACCATGTCAAAGCAAAAAGCTCAACCAAAAGCCCTAGTCCCGCAAAATTCAATAGAACCATGAAGATGAAAATACCTGAAAAGAAAAAGAGCCCAAAGAAGGTTAAAAAGAATATCCCTATTGTATTGTCTAGCCAGAGCTCTTCAAAGAGTGATAAGTGATATTTATATCGCTTACTATGTGTTTTTATCAACACTTATTTTGTTTATTTCCTTATTTTATTCCTCCTTTACTGCTTGCTGATATGGTTTTATGTTTTCAAATGATAAGGAGTGCCAAGATTTAAAGCGGAACGAAAAATGACCAAAATACACATAAAGAGGAGTCCTCCAGTGCACAAAACCCATGGCCAACATGTTAGAACAAGATTAGTTCTGATCTATCTCAGAGTTTTGATGATAACAATAAATTATATTTTAGATAATTTATACTCTGATGAACGTATTTGACTATTTCAGATAATGTTCAGACAAGAAGCATTCTGAAGTGCTAAAGCAAAAATTATGAAGTTATTTATTGAAAGAAACTTTTTATTTTAAGCGCACCTGCTGACTCTGGTAAGACATTTTATTTTAATATATCTTCTAACATTTAGCAGGTTTCCTTGCTCAGAAGATTACTTGAAAGCAAGTGCTGATCAAAGTTCTTAGCAAGCAAAGCAATGCTTAGAAGATGAAGTAAAGCATGTTCTGAAAACAAGATGTTGAAGCATGTTCTGATACAAACGAACCAGGATAAAAATAACCTTGTCATTCCATTATTGTTGAGCTTTGTTTTGAAAAGAAAAAGAGTCACTTATTCAACCCCCCTTCTAAGTGTTTTCTTACCTCTTCAATTGGTATCAGAGCTTGACTCTGAGCACAACACTTAACCGTGTCAGGAAAAGATCCAGAAGAAAACATAATGGTTGCTGAACAAAACAACAATAGTTACAACAAACCTCCTGTCTTTGATGGAGAAGATTTTGAGTACTAGAAAGACAGACCAGAAAGTTTCTTTCTAGGTCATGATAGTGATCTATGGAATATAATTTTGGATGGTTACACACATCCTGCTGACTCAGAAGGAAACAAAGTTGACAGAAAAAATATGGATAGACTACAAAAAGCTGAATTTAAAAATCATCATAGAGCTAGAAATATTTTTCTAAATGCTATCTCTAAAGTTGAATATGAAAAAATCACTAATAGAGATACAGCGCATGATATGTTTGAGTCTCTTAAAATTACTCATGAAGGAAACGCTCAAGTTAAGGATTCTAAAGCTCCGGCTTTAGTTCAGAAGTATGAAGCCTTCAAAGTTGAAGAAAGTGAGTCTATAGAAGCAATGTTCTCTAGGTTTCAAACTCTGATCGCTAGTATAAGAGTTTTGAACAAGGGATATACTAAAGCATATCATGTTAAAAAGATCACCAGAAGCTTACCCAGAAGATGGGCACCAATGGCACTGCTTTCAAAGTTTTAAAGGATCTGAACAACGTGTCTCTGGAGGAACTCATCAGCGCTCTCAGAAGTCATGAAATAGAACTTGATGAGCATGAGCCTCTGAAGAAAGGTAAGTCTCTAGCCCTTAAA